GTGATACTTTCAGGAAATGCACTAATGACATGAATGCTTATGGGTCGTTGTCATTGTCATCACCATCAGCAGCAGCAGGAGCATCACATGTAGTACTTCCTATGTGCTCAGCACTGTTCTAAGAGCCTACCCATATTAACCTAAAAAGAAGCCTTTGAGGTAGGTACTATTATTATTCTTTTTTGGGATAAAGGAGGCAAGGAGAACAAGGAGGCAAGATTGGTTATGAGACTTCCCCTAATCACCCAGGTAGAAGGTGCTAGAGCTAGAATTTGACCCCAGGCAGTCAGGCTTCAGAATCAACCCTCAGTCCTTATGTTTTAGCTTCATGTTATGATGTCTTATCTCCATGTTTTTTATTTTGTATAACTGTGGGTGGGCTGACATTCATTTGAACTTCCCTATTTTTTAATCCTTTATTGGGGCTTTGGAAATATTTTTTTATTAATAAAAAGTTATAGTTACCACAGAATTCCCAGAGCACCTAACTTTTGAGTTGTTCCAAGCCTTCATTTGTTTCTGGGTCAACTTTTTCTGAATCATCATTCACAAAATGAATAAGGCTGATCTTATAATATTGCCATGTTCAGCTCTCCAAAAATAACCATTGTGGCACGTGACCTATCATTCTTATGGATCCTATTGAAAGATGAGCTCAGCTGCTTGTACAAATCGTTTTCTTTTCCTTCTCCTTTAATACTGTCTATCAGCAAATCAGGAGGCAGTATTTCCTTTTGTGGTGTTGCTCAAAATATGAGGATTTTACACTTGTAAAATGTGCTTTTATATCTTAGCCCACTATCTATTATAAACAAAGCCAATAAAAACATGCCATGTTATAACTTTTTCTAAATCAGAATTATTTTCCAGATCAGTAAATGCCATGTTATCATTGTCATCACCTTACAGTATTTTAAACAACCGAGTTAAGGGAACCTGGATGGATAGAATTTAACAAGTGGTGAAAAGAAAAAAATGACCTCTTGATTGTTAGATCAAATGCAATTGAATTTTGACCTGCGTGTGATGGCCTTGTCCACAGTTAATGACTAAATTGATCTATTCTTTGTTGATTTGGTCTTTTCTTGTCAGCTTTAAAGATCAATTTTTGCCTTATTACTCAGGTTGTCATGTAGTTTATTTGTTTTTGTCGTTGAAAGATAAAGAATTACCCACCTATCAATCAGGGATATGTCTCAGGTAAAGATAGACAATAAGGAAGTCAGATCATTGAGTTGAAGAAATCACTGATGTTGAGGAATATAATTTTTTAGTATTTTGTTTAACCAGATTGGCTCCTGATGTTTATCAAATTTTGTAGATAATGAATGAGTTGCACATTACTTATTAAATGCCTTTTTGTATACGTTGATGATCTAGATTGTATACCAAATCAGTCAAAGAACGTGATAGCTTTTGATTTATAATCTAGGACAGAAAAAACAAGCATAATTTTTAAATATAATGGATATTTAAATAATGGACATGTTTCTATGTGGAACAGGAAAGAGATAAATGCATTTTTTGGTATCAAAGATTGATTGAGAGGGGTTTAGAGAAGGTCACTTTGCCTTATTGCTAGTCAGAGATAATTCATCGATGGGGTATATTTTCAAGAGGAGTTGAAAGCAGAGGGAAATGGCTGTTAGTAGGCTTTATTTGGGATAATAAAGACATTCTAGGAATGGACTTTAACATGGGAGGTTACAGATGTGGAATGAGAGCCCTGGAGGCAAGGTAAAATGTGGGCCTGGCAATAGACATAAGTAAATAGAAGGTGGAACTCAAAATTGAAGACTTCCCTTAATTCTTTGAAAGGAAGTAGTGTTTTAATGAAGCCAGAATGCTATGAAGACCCTGTTCACACCTGTAAAAAATGTACAGAATGTGTTACATTTAAATTAAAGTTTAAATTAAAGTCTCATCCTATAACAAATTAGTCATTAAGTATATTCTAGAACACTTTCTTAACTGGTGTCTGAAGTACCTGGAAAACAGTCATTAAAATTTCGTTTATATTTGGTGATAGGCAGATCATTCCCTAGAACATTGTCTAAATGCTGCTGAGAGATGTAATTTGACTAGTAAATTAATGGTTTCTGGTGATCTTAATGTTAACATAACATTTGGAGGCATTGCTCATCAGGGCTGCAATATTGTGTTTTACAAGATGCATGAGACAAAGGCACTTAATGAGTTTGGGCTGCACTGCACATATTGTGCCTAACTCTGTTCAAACTGTTACAGGCTTCCTGCCAAGATATGTAGGAGGAATTGCCTAAAAGATTAGTAGAAGAAATGGTCCCAGCCCCTGCTGGGTACCCTTGTGATTGGTTTGTCAACAGTTGGAGAAAATTTTGGTATAGACAGTAAACAATTAGTGTCAGTTCATAGAAATGCTGGACCCCTGCATAAGGTTTATGAAAAGAGAAATAGTGACTCTAGTATAGTATTTTCTTCTTTGTGATATGTGTGGTTTTAATATGTAATGGCTACTCCTAATATTCATTATTCATGTCCATTCACATTTTTAATAAAAATTTTCTGTGATAAATTCCATTTGATATACTTCTAGAAAACGAATGGCTAGATAGCATTGCAAGTTTAATATTCTTTTTTTATATACATAGCAAAAATTTAAAATTATTCACATCCTTATTAAATTTTAAACATAAATAACAATTAATGTTGTTGCCCATTAATAGTCTACAAGTGAAAAATGGCAAAGGCTGTTTGTTATCCTACATGGTCTGCTGCTTAGAGGACACACATACATAAACATTATTCCTGAGTTGTAAAATCATTGTACAATGAAAGAATAAATTATCTATAAAATTTGAAACATACACAACTGGAATAGTTTTATTTAAAAAATTTTTTTTGCAAATTCTTTAGCGTATTCTCTTTGTTGGTTATCAACATTTTTTCTTGTATGTTATCTTAAAAAATATCTATTCTTTACCAGCTTATAAATGTTTTACGTAGTAACAAAGCTTAACTTTTTTGTTACACCATTACAAACGTATTGGCCAATGTTTATTGAATATTTTCTGTGTGCCAGGAACTGTTGAAAGCACTTTATATGTATTAACACATAATTAACTCACAGTAATCCTAAGATGTAATTACTGTTACCAGCATCACTTTATAGAAAAATGAGGTACTGAGTAATCAGGCAGTTTGTCCAGCCTCACAGCTGGGAGGCGGTACTGTGAGGATTCAGTCCATGTAGTCTGACTGAGTCAGTCCTGGTGACAATTATATAGATTACCTTTTTCAGATTACCTGGGAACGAATGTTTGTGGTGGATGAAATTGAACTGTAGAATGATTTTAAATTAGAGGCTCTTTCTTAGGAGTGCGTATGTTCTGCTTTAAAAAATATAATAGCCAAACTAAGATTTGAAATGATTGTTTGCGTTCAGTTCTACTATTATTATTTTTACCATATTAACTATTTTGAATATATGGTTCAGTAGCATTAATACATTCATACTGTTGGTGCAGTTATCACCACTGTCCTTCTGCAGAACTTTTTCTTCATCCCAAAATGAAGCTCTGTACCCATTAAATAATACCTTCCCTCGGGGCGCCTGGGTGGCTCAGTTGGTTAAGCGACTGCCTTCGGCTCAGGTCATGATCCTGGAGTCCCGGGATCGAGTCCCGCATCGGGCTCCCTGCTCTGCAGGGAGTCTGCTCCTCCCTCTGACCCTCCTCCCTCTCATGTGCTCTCTGTCTCTCTCATTCTCTCTGTCTCAAATAAATAAATAAAATCTTAAAATAAATAAATAAATAAATAAATAAATAATACCTTCCCTCTATCCCCTTTTCTCAGCCCTTGGCAAACACTACTCTACTTTCTGTCTTTGTATCTCACTTCTCCCCTCTATAAAGTGATGCTGATAACAGTAATTACCTCTTAGGATTATTGTGAGTTAATAATAGGCTTAGCATAGCATGATCTCTCTTCAGAGCTATGTCAGACTGCAAGGGGGGCACTTGGGTGGTAGAGTTCTGCTAAGATGAACCAAACATCATTTGAATTGCCTGCTATTTCACTATTGTTTTCTGCCCAAAGAGAAACACTTTCATAATATGGGTGTGGGGTGGGGGTGGTGGGGGCTGTTGGGAAAGAGGCAAGATGGGAAGGAAGGAAGTTTGAAGAACCTACTAACAGGAATGAAATAGTTAATTGGTTTATATTAGGATTCCAGGGAGGGGTGTGTATGTGTGTGTGCATGCATGTGCATGTACGTTTGTATGTTGGCAGAGCTTGAGGAGCTAGGGATAGATATATCAGAAACAACTGTGAGTTGTTTTCAAATTATTCTCTGCTGCTTTGCATTCCAGTTCTTCAGGATTCAAACTAGTCTTTGGGGATGGGAGTCTGTGTCATTTGTAGAAGCCCTTTTGTTGGTGTTGGTACCCCTCAAAGCCCACCCCCATACAGTTTTACACACAACTATGCAGGCACTTACATGTCAGTTAAGAACTACTGCACTGATTACATCATCTAAAAAGGAGGAAAAACGAAAGGCTAGTCCAGAGCTGGCTTATCCTTGGTTATTTTGAAACACATTTGGGAACATGGAGGCAAGCAGAACTGGGAATTTCAAGTATATTTGAGCTAACAATTTTGGATAGTAATGCCAATAAGCAGAGAAAGTGGTGGTAGCTATGAAACACAAACAAACAAAATGAGAAAAAAAGCCAGAAAGATGGCAGAGATGCACAGATATGGTCTAGGAAGAATCCATGGGCCCAGGACTGAGGCCATGAAGCATAACCTGTGGATTTAATCAACAAACACATAGCTAGGTACCATGAAAATAAATAGAAAATCAGTTTAACACATGTCTTAAGACAAACATTGAAATACTTTGTTTTTAGGGATATGATCATTGTACTTTTAAAATTGTTAAAATAGATTCCTGGTTCATTCAAGAGGTATGCCTAATTCACTTATTCTTTTAGATGTCTTAAACATTCCTTGAGTATAGTTCAATCAGAATCACCAACTTGTCTTGGTTTCCTCAGGACTTTCTCAGTTTCAGCACTGAAGTCCCATGTTTCTGGAATTCCTTTAGTCTTGGGAAGTTGATGACGATTGGTCACTGTAAGTTGAAGACACATTATTTATGACCATATCCTTATCATTTTATGTTGTACATATTAATTATATTTTCCTACTGTGTTTTTTTCTGTTTTCATCTTCATCTGTAAGAATAATAAATAGTATACAATAAAGTCAACTTTTCTTTGAATTACAATACTGTAGTTTTTGAAGCAGACATTTTTGCTTTCAAAGGAAGAAGGCAGCAAAATGTTATTGAAAGCAGTTGCATTTAATGTTTAAAGTGATACTTCCTAGATTAGATACCTGGCTGGTGACCAGATGTTTTAGGAATGCATCTTAATTAATTATAATGTCTGGCTTCAAAATGCACGTGCATATGTTTGGAAAATCTATCTGTTGGGCATATGTATCTTTCTTAAGAGAATTCACTCCAGTGGAAAGGAAGAGAGCACAGGTGTTAGGATTCTTATTCTCAGATACGCATTTGTTCTCAGATAATCATTTAAAACTGTTCATTTTTTCCTAATACAAGCATTTTCCATTATACATTTTCCTCCAAGCATTGCTTTAGCACCTTCCCATACCTTTTAATACATTGTGTTTTTATTTTCATTAAGTTCAAAACATGTTCTCATTTTCCTTTCAACTTGCTCAGTGACACATAGGCTATTTAGAAGTATGTTGTTTAATCTCCAAATATTTGGGAGTTTTATAGATCTCTTTCTGTTACTGATAACTAATTTTGTTATGAATGGAGAAGATACTTGGTATAGTATCAGTTACTTTCATTTGGTTGTGGTTTGTTTTGTGGCACAGATTAAGGTCCATCTTGCTGAATTTTCCATGTCCACTTGAAAAAAGTGTTGAACCTGCTGTTGTTAGGTTGAATCAGTTGATATTGAGGTCTTCTAGATCCTTAGAGATTTTCTGTCTGTTGTTCTATCAATTACTGAGTGAGTTGTGTTGGAATCTCCATCTATAATTGCAGATTTTTATATTTTTCCTTTTAGTTCTATCAATTTGTACTTCAGCTCTGTTGTTAGTGTGTACATGTTTAGGAATTTTATGTCTTCTTGGTGAATCTAATTATTTATCATTATGTAATTTTCCCCTTTATGCCAGGTAATATTCCTTCTTCTGAAGTCTACTTTGATATTAATATAGCCACTTCAGCTTTATTTTGATTTGTGTTTGCATAGTGTGTTTTCCCCATCCTTTTTCTTTTAACCTATTTATATCTTTATTTATATGTAAAGTGGGTTTCTTGTGAACAGCATGTATTTGGATTCTGCTTTATCAATTTGACCATCTCTGTATTTTCATTAGTATGTTTTGATCATTTACCTTTAATGTAACTATTTTACATAGTTTAATTGAAAGATGCCCAACTTGCTAGTTGTTTTCTATGTGTTTTCACTTGTTTTTCTCTTCCACTTTTTTTTCTGCCTACTTTTAAATTATTTACTATGATTCCACTTTAACTTACTGGCTTATTACTTATACCTCTTACTATTTTTAGGGTTTCCCTTGGGTTTACAATATGCACCTTTGATTAATCACAGTTTACCTTTAAGTAACATTGTAACACTTCATGTATAATGTCAGAAACTTACAATAGTATACTTCCAATTCATCCCTCTCAATTTTTTGGTGTTGTTGCCACAAATTTTTCAGGCCTTAGAAAAATGCAACCCTTAGGACAAAGCTAGTCATATTTATTTATAATGTATAATTTATGGCTACTTCTCATGCTACAAAGGCATAGTTGAGTAATTGCAACAGAGACCTTATGGCCCACAAAGCTGAAGATGTTTACTACCTGACTAAAGAAAAAGTTTGACAACTCCTGCTTTAGACAGTTATTCTTTTTAGTGTGATTAAGAAAAGAATATCTTTTATATTTACCTTTATTTTTTTAAAGATTTTATTTATTTATAGGACAGAGAGAGACACAACGAGAGAGGGAACACAAGCAGGGGAAGTGGGAGAGGGAGAAGCAGGCTTCCCGCTGAGCAGGGAGCCCGATGTGGGGCTCGATCCCAGGACCCTGGGATCATGACCTGAGCCGAAGGCAGGCGCTTAACGACTGAGCCACCCAGGCGCCCCTACCTTTATTTTAACCATATTCAGCAATCTTCATTTTTTTCCAGGAGATCCAAGTTTTTGTTTGTGTCATATTCCTTCTTGCTGAAGAACTTCTCTTTAATATTGTAGTTCAGTTCTGTTGGAAATGAATTCTCTCAGTTTTTTTTAACCTGAAAAAATATCCTTTATTTTTTAGTTATTTTTGATGAACATATTTTTCTGGCTTAACAGTTATTTTTTATCTGTCCCTGCATAGTCTTGCTTGCATTGTTTTTGTCAAAACTTCTGCTCTAATTCTTACTTTTATTTCTTTGTATATAATTTGGATTCCCCACCCACCATGTTCAGTATTTTTTCTTTGTCATTAATGTTAAGCCATTTGAATATGATGTGCCATAGGGGCAGGTTTTTTCTTTCCCCCCTGGCTCCTTTTCTCTTTGTTCTCCTGGGAGTCCAGTTTTGCTTATGTTAGATTAGTTGATATATTCTTACTGCTTTTCAATGCTTTCTTATGTTTTCTTTTTCTATTTCACTCTTTCTTATCTTTGTGTTTTAGCTGGGGTAGTTTCAATTGACCTATCTTCAGATTCATTGGTTCTTTTCTTGATTATGTCAAATCTAATGAGTCTCTCAAAGTCATATTACCATTGGCTTTTATTTCTAGCATTTCTTGCAGCTCTCATATAATTTCCATTTTTCTGCTAAAATTCCCAATCTATTTTTCACCTTTTGCACTAGATCTTCTGACATATTAATCATAGTTTTAAAAAAAATTCCCTGTCTGTTAGTACCAGCAATTACAGTGCTTCTGTTTGGTTAGTTTCTAGTGCCCTACTTTTAAGTTTACTGATATTTTCTCTATCAGTGTCTAATCTGCTAAACCTATCCTATAGAATAGTTTTCATTTCTTCCTTGAGATTTCCTATTTGCTTCCTCATTGTGTGTATGTTTTACTTTAAATCTTTCTATATATATTTAAATTTATTTTTATTGTTTTTAATCTCTGCTTTACAGTCTGGTAATTCCATCTGTGTTTTTATTTTATTTTGGGAACTCTGCCTATTTACTGATTTTTCTTGTATTTTCTTTTTTACATATATAGTAATTTCTTATTGGATGATGGACATTATTTTTTTTTTTTTTAAGATTTTATTTATTTATTCATGAGAGACAGAGAGAGAGAGGCAGAGGGAGAAGCAGGCTCCCAAGGAGCAGGGAGCCCGATGCGGGACTCGATCCCAGGACCCTGGGACCATGACCTGAGCCGAAGGCAGACGCTTAACCATCTGAGCCACCCAGGCGCCCATGATGGACATTATTGAGCTCACATTGTTGAGTCTGGATTTTATGGTCTGTTAATAGAATGTTGTGTTCAAGTAGACAGTAAATTTTCTAGAGCATGTGGTTAATCATTTTGAGACTTGATTTTAAGCTTTATTAGGAAAATTCTATAGTGGAATTCTTTTTGTAGGACTATATTAGCTACTTTCCACATATGGTTTCTCTTAATTCTAATGAATACCTGACAAGTTCAAAAAGAGAAATACGGTGTATGTTAACCTATTATAAGGGTTTGACATTAGAAAGTTCTCAGCAAAGTACCTATTTAGAAGAGCCATGAGGTCTTCATTCAGTCATTCCTCTATCAATTATTACTCTCAGGAGGACTAGGAAGATATTAGCAAGAAGAGGCAGATTCATGGATTTTAGAGAAGGAAATGTACAAAGGGTTATAGGAAGTCTGAGGAGAGAGTACAGGCTTCTGGTTTCAGGAGGTGCTAGGAAGTCAGATTCATGAAGGAAGTGTCACTTTAACTGGATCTTGAAGGAAGGAAGGATTTACATTATGAGCTTTGATGGAGGAAAGACATTTCAGGCATAGCTAACACATATAAACAATTTTAGAAAACTGGTAAAAATCAGCATGTGAAAGTTGTCAAAAGTGTTAGGTGGGAACATAATAGTACTTAATATGGTTACTGTACATGTAAAGTGAAATAATGCCTGTAAAATGCTTACCAAAATATTTGGCATATGGTATATACTAAAATATTGTTTATTTTGCACATATTTGGGAGGAAATATTTGATATTTTTTAAACGAAATGATAGCTTGTATATATTCATTTAAAAAATGAATATCTCACCTTTTTAAAGAGATATTTAAAACCATTGTTATATTCACTTTTAAAATTACTAATTTTCTGTTGTCATATTTTTCAGGTTAATCATTATTTCTTGTGGACCCTCTATAAAGATAGACATTTTTATCTTCATTCTTCAATTCTGGTTATTACTCAGTAATACATGTCATAGCAGTAGACAGAGAAATCTGCTTTGAAATTGACTTTGAAAGGCTTAGATCAATAATGTTTGAACAATCATACAAAAATAATTTTATATTTTTCTAGTTATTTATGATTTACATTTGAAACTTAGAATTGATCTGTCATGTTTGGTGACCTTGACTTTTTGACATCATTGCCAAATATTCAATCACTATTATATAGATTCATGTTCTTGTCCTATATCTAGTAATTGATCTGTTCTTTATTATGTTAAACCTATTTGGATTTAGAAGGATGGGCTTCTTCCTAATTAACCTTAGCTGTTATGATAAGATTATATTGCAGATTGACACTGGCAGTTTATTTTATGACATTGTTTATTTGGTGTTCAGGAAAGCACTTAATCATTTAGCTAATAAACTGTCAAATAGATTGTTTGGGAAGCCAGAATTTGGCTTTGACAGCTTTTTAAAAAAACATATTTGGCACAAAATTAGAGAAATAAATATGAAAATCATTAAGTACCTAGGAACCAAATCGCATTTAAATAACATATAGACTTTTAATAGAAAATTACATAAATTTCTTGGACCTTAATATTATATAATAATAGCAATAAGTCAGTGAAGAAGATGCATTACTGTGGTGAAAGAAATATTGTTCAT